TGTTGGCGGAGGATGAAGAAGGGATGATACATATGTTGGGGAAAATGGAAAGTTATATGGACAAGAAAAGGTTAGAGGTGAATGTGGATAAGACAAAGGTAATGAGGTTTAAAAAGGGAGGAGGAAGAATGAAGAGAGTGGAGTGGAGATGGAAAGGAAAAAGGTTAGAGGAAGTGAAAGAATTCACATATTTAGGGTATAAGCTACAGAGGAACGGGGGGCAGGAGGCGCAGGTAAAGAACAGAGTTAGGAAAGCAGGAGCGGTGATAAGACAGGTGTGGGGAATGGGAAAGAGAAGGTTTGCAGGAGACTGGATGAAAAGAGTATGGCTAATGGAAAGGTTGGTGGGGACGGTGTTGGAATATGGGGCGGAAATATGGGGATGGAAGGAGAGGAGAGAGGTGGAGGCAATGCAGGAGCGATGGATTAGGTGGACGTTAGGAGTAGACTGGTGCACGCCGGGGTATATGGTAAGAGAGGAGATAGGAAAAGACAAATTTAGGATAAGGGCAGGAAGGAGGGCGGTAGGGTATGAGAGGAAGTTGGAGGAAGGAAGGGGAGGAAGTTTAGCGAGGAAATGTTTTGAGGATATGAAAGAGAGGATAAGGGGAGGAAAGGAAAGAACGATGTGGGAGGAAGAGAGGGGGAAATTCTGGGAAGAAAGAGGAATAGAAGGGAAAGAGATGGAGGAAAAAAGGGGAAGGGGAGAGGAAGTATATGAGGGGTGGGAACAGAAAGACAGGGAAAGGCAGAAGGAGGAAAGATGGGAGAGGATAAGAGAGTCGAGATATAATAGATGGTATGGGGAATGGAAGGAGGAGGGTTTACCGGAATACCTGAGAAAGGGATGGGGGGAAAGTAGATGGAGAAGGATAGTTAGGTTCAGAATGAACAATGAGATGAGAGGGGCGAGATACTGGGAAGAAGAGGGGAAAAGAAGATGTAGGTTATGCGGGATAGAAGATGAAACATGGGAGCATGTGATAGGAGAATGTGGGGGAGAAGGGGAGAAGGGAAACTGGTGGGAAAGAATGAAGGAAATACTGCAGGAAGGAGGAGAAGGGGAAGGATGGATGAGAGAAATAGAGAAAAAGAGGGAAGAGGGGAGAACGGAAGAAAGGAGGGAGGGAGGGGAAAAGGAGGAAGGAAGTATGAGGAGGAGAATGAGTGAGGTATGAATGAGGTGGTGGAGAATGTATGGGGAATCGGAAGCCGAAGCGAAGCGATAGGTAGGGACGGCTCTTTCTCTCTCTAAAGTAGTAGATAAGTAGGTTAAGGTAGAATTAAGTTATTTGTAAATTAGATGTAAGAGTAGAGTTAAGAGTAGATATAAGTAAAATTGTAAGAGTTTGTAAGGTTGGGGAACGCTCCTTCAAAAGCGCCTTCAATCCCTTAGGGGACGAATAAAGAATTGAATTGAATATATATTATATAAATAAACATATACATTATAATAAATGTTCAAAAAAGTCAAGATAATCTTGTCTTGACTATGCCAACGTCATCCAATGTCAAAATAATAAGATCTGTAATTAGATCTTCATAAACTCTGCAACTTTTATCCAAATTACTTTTCTGTATAACTTATTATTTTCTACATTTTCCAGGGATTCTTTGTTCTCAGCATGTACACACACACACACACACACACGCACACGCTCGCACACGCACACGCTCGCACACGCACACGTGCGCGCGCACACACGCACACGCGCGCGCACACACACACACACACACACACACACACACACATGTATGTACGTATGTATGTATGTATGTATGTATATATGTATATATAATATATGTATGCATGCTTATGTAAGTATATATGAATATATATATACACATATATATATATGGTATATATATATATATATATATATATATATATATATATATACAAGTGTAATAAATAAGTATTTCTTTATATATATAAATATATATGTTTTATATACAAATTTGACATGATTATATATGCACCCTTATTTTTTATATATAAATTTACATAATTATGTATAAAAATGGACATATTTTAAAAGAATGAATGAGTAAGTGAACGAGTAACTGGCTGTTGCCGTAAAACGATATGATTGATTGCATTGATTACTAATTGATAGAATACTAACAATAAGCATAAAGGATCAAGAAAGAGAGAGAGAGAGAGAGAGAGAGCTCTCTTTTTTTACTTTTCAGAAAATAGTGACATTCAATGCAAACGATCAATTATACGTATATTTCCTTACGACACATACAACGCGGGAAAAATTTTTTATATAATTATATTAAAATAATTGTATAATTTTATACATATAATCGCAAAATTATATGTATAATATACAATTATTTTATATAATTATATATAAAAAATTTTTCCCCGGCTGTACGTGTCGTAAAGAGATATACAATTCACCGTTTGCATTGAATGTCTCTATTTTCGGGAAAGTAAAAAAAGCTCGCTCTCTCTCTCTCTCTCTCTCTCAATACTTTATGCTTAGTATTCTATCAATCAGTGATCAATGCAATCAATCAATATATCGTTTGACGGCAACAGCCAGTTGCTTGTTCATTCACTCATTCATTCTTTTAAAATATGCCCATTTCTAACATAATTATATAAATTTATATAAAAAATTATATTCATACATAATCATGTCAAATTATATATGAAACACACATATATATATATATATATATATATATATATATATAAATTTATATAAATATATATAAAAAGCACTTGTATGTAATTATGTATGGATATATTTCATATATCATTTTGCGATTATATGTATAATTTTATACATTTCTATATAATTTTATATTGTTATATATACAAATTTTTTTTCCGGGAGATTTTACATTGACTCATATTTTCTATTTCTTTCATCATTCTTGTCTGTCTTTACATGCATGTTATTGTGATGTATGTGCATCATATATAATTTGCATTTGTATGTTTGTTGAGAAGATAGGAATAGATATAATTTTATTACTTTATGTTTCTATACTATAAATGCAGCTTTTTTTAAATATCTGAAATAAATTTTTCTGGAAATTAATAAATTATATATCTTCAAATATTTAATAAAATATCAATATGTATCAAATATTTTTCAAAATATTTTTATTTTTATAATTAGTCTGTTTTGCATTATTTTATCTTTATTTATTGTTTTTATAATAAAATTGTTTTTATTGAACACATAATAAATAGTAAGAGAATATATAAAACATCTAAAAGAATATATTCGTATAAACTAAAATATTTGTGAAATCTAAATTTTGTTTAAATTGATTTTCATAAAAATTGTATTTTAAAAATTTAATTTAAAAAAGCTGCATTTATAAAATGATTTATTCTAATCTTCTCAACAAACATACAAATGCAAATTATATATTATGCACATACAACACAATAACATGCATGTAAAGACAGACAAGAATGAGGAAAGAAAAGGAAAATATGAGTAAAAGTAAAATCTCCCGGAGAAAAATTTTTTATATATAACAATATAAAATTATATAGAAATATATAAAAGTATACATAGAATCGCAAAATTATATATGAAATATGTCCATACATAATTAGATAAAAGTGCTTTTTATATATAATTGTATAAATTTATATATATATATAAAATATATAAATTATATATATATATATATATATATATAAAATATATAAAGACGAAAAAGAGAGATCGCTGAAATGTTCTACATAAAAAGACAACAAATAAAATTAATTTACAAATAAACACTGATAACCTTAGTCCTCTATTTATGACAACATTATTCAAATGATTTAAAAAACATAATACTAGTCTACAGTAGCTAACAAATTGTCGATATGACAGGACAACTTTCATGTTTCTATTTTTAATTAATGTAATTGCTGAATAAGAACAAGTATGTATTACAGATCAAATTTAGTGTTAATGTAATGTTAATTTCGCTTGCCAAATTATGTATTTTTGTATTCTAGCACTTGAAAAAGACCACAATGTGGGTCGAAACGTAGTGTGTACTTATTTTCAATAAATGAATAGCCAGTTTTTGGTTGAATTAAATTGCATCTTATTATTTGTTAAAATTTATTACTGGCGATTAACAATTAATTGTGAAGTATACTTAATTATTATTTATTATTTTTAAGATAAAAATACTAAGAAACAAAAGTGCAAATCTTATTTTTCTTTTATTTATTATATAAAATTGAATATTATTTAAACTACATTGCATTATAAAATATACTTTTATATTATAATTAACAATACAATATTTTAAACTATTTCAAATTTTATTATATATAAAAATAAAACGTTTAGTACCGTTTAACAAAAAATCACAAATAATTGCAGAACAGTTGCGTTATACTAAATTTTACACATATATTATTAATATATGTATATTATAAATACTGAAAACTTTTAAATTTTACAACGAAAGCAATTACTTTTGACACAAATCGACACACACGTTGCTTTCCATTTAGAATTTTATTCATACTTAATCGACACTCTTCGACTCTTGGGAAAAGAGTTAGAGTGTTTTTTACCAGTGATGTCAGGTTAGCATAAGTAGTGGATTTATCTGAAGAATTTATATAAAAATATTATAATAAAAATATATTAATATATAATAGAGAGAAATATAATAAAAGTTAATATAATAGAAATATAATAAAAATTATTAAAAGTACTAATATACAATAATACACATAAGAATATATGTATACATATAAAAATATTATATATGTTCTCAATTTGTTTACTTTTTTGTTTGCATATAAATATCGAATTATTATAAATTTTTCTTGAAATTATATTATTTTTTATATTTGGAAAATTAACATAACAATAAAACTTTGTTTTTATGATATATTTTAACTAAAAATATTTATATACAGTATAATATATTTACATACATTTATAAAATTTTAAAATACATTTGAAAAGTTTTTTGTTACGATAAATCTTACGATAAATCTGTTTGATGTACGTTTGATGTGATAAAAAGGTTAGGTATTAGTTTGTGCACATACGGTACATACTGTACATAACTCGTTTCATTTATCTGTGACAAACTGTGCTCAAGTGTGTTAACTTGTGTCGATGTGTGTTTTCTTAAGGAAAGCAGCCTTAGTATGAAAGACGTTGTGGAAGAGGGGGGGGGGAGCAGACAAGATAAAAAAAACATTATTGATTTTGAAAATAGAACTTCATTCGAAGAATGTCATGCATTGTATCTGATGGGATTGAAAAAATCCTGTTTTACGAGCTTTTACAACAAATCAAACAATTAATGTGTACTCCTCGTAATTGAACCGATTAAAAGCAACAATCGACCAAAGTATTCAATTGGTCAATCGTAAGAGTGTTGTCTTTCATGACTATGCATGATCTCTTTGATCATTCGGCAGAAATTGGTTTCCTCTGATTGAATTTAAATCCCTGTGATTATCATTTATTTCGATCCCTGCAAAACATTCTTAATTACAAGAAATGTACTTTTCTGGAAGCCTGCAAAAACACTGCCTGCAGTCCTACTTGAAACAGTTTATCCGCCAGAAAATTGAGAAATTCTACATGGATGGAATCATGATAAAGCTACATACCTAAAGTTTTATCTAGAAAAATGGCAAATACCTTGATAAATTAAAAACACAATCTCCACTTGATTCCTCTCGACCAATAGAGCCAAATGCGATGTTATTGCGACAATTATGAAAGAAAGAAAATTTGGAAACTAAGGAATTTGAATCCTATGGTTGGGATCTCAAAAATTCCCCTTGTTCCTTCTCTTATAAGCAGTCGCCCGGCAATGCGATGTTATTGCGACAATTATGAAAGAAAGAAAATTTGGAAACTAAGGAATTTGAATCCTATGGTTGGGATCTCAAAAATTCCCCTTGTTCCTTCTCTTATAAGAGGGGAATTTTTGAGATCCCAACCATAGGATTCAAATTCCTTAGTTTCCAAATTTTCTTTCTTTCATAATTGTCGCAATAACATCGCATTGCCGGGCGACTGCTTATAAGAGAAGGAATGTTCCTTCTCTTATAAGAGGGGAATTTTTGAGATCCCAACCATAGGATTCAAATTCCTTAGTTTCCAAATTTTCTTTCAAAAATTCCCCTCTTATAAGAGAAGGAACAAGGGGAATTTTTGAGATCCCAACCATAGGATTCAAATTCCTTAGTTTCCAAATTTTCTTTCTTTCATAATTGTCGCAATAACATCGCATTTGGCTCTATTGGTCGAGAGGAATCAAGTGGAGATTGTGGTTTTAAAATTAAAAGAGTTGACTTAAAAAATTATTCTCATTATTGTTCGTCGCGTCTGGACCTAATTACGACGCTTTGGGTGGGTGAGGGGGTATAAACATTGAGAGAAATATTTATTCGTAAGTGTCTGAATAGCTCAGTTGGAAGAGCAGTCGCCCGGCAAGCGGAAGGTCTCGGGTTCGATTCCCGATTCAGCCGACTTTCGGACCAATATTTTTCTCGCCTATTTCTTTACAGGGGATGTTAAGAGAAGGAACAAGGGGAATTTTTGAGATCCCAACCATAGGATTCAAATTCCTTAGTTTCCGAATTTTCTTTCTTTCATAATTGTCGCAATAACATCGCATTTGGCTCTATTGGTCGAGAGAAATCAAGTGGAGATTGTGGTTTTAAAATTAAAAGAGCTGACTTAAAAAATTATTCTCATTCTTGATAAATTAAGTTAAAAATTAAAAATTTTTAATTAAAAAATATTTTTTTAATTTGACCAATAAAACGACATAAATTTTCGTCCAATATAAAGCAATTCTATAAAAGTAAATTAATATGAGCGAAAGTTAAATATAAAGTATTATATAATATGAAATATTATACTTGGCAATTTACCTGAAGGTCCACCACATATCAAAGCTTATCGTAGTTAGCCAGAAGTAACTTGATAAAAAACAAAAGTAATCGAAGAAGGCTGTAAAAATAAATAAAACAATTAAAATTGTTAAGAATAAATAATAACTTAACCATAGAGCGCCCATTAAAATGCAGTGATTCAAAGTTATATCACGTTTTTATTTGTTCATTAAAAATATATTTAACTCTAACTTCCTGCAGTAAAAATAGCAATATTTAAGTAATACTACTGACATATTAAATTTAATTAGTTATATATTAAAGTGCATCTTTTAAATGTTACTCAAAATCCTTGCACTTTTGAGATTTTAATCTAATTATATTACAAGTAATTAAAAAAATTAATTAATAAGTGAAAAATATACCTATATTATACTTGTGTGTGACAAATTATACACTACACTAATTGCATAGTTAAATGATTTAAATATACTGTACCAATTGTAATACAGATGGGATACTGTATATCATTCGCTTTGATGATAATAGTAACTATACGAAGCATGTACGCAACGGACAAAGCACCGCTATAATTGCGCAACATGAAGCCATGTACAGTTTGAAGCTCCGGCAATATGGAATACACTAAAAATATTGGCATCAAAAATAGCATAGTCACTACATGCAAGCTTGCATGTATAATTGCGTCAAAATTCAAGGTGGCATTATCGTTTTGTGATATGACCGCGTTGTTGATCTCATCTAAAGTTTCTGAGCAGATGATCACTTCGAATGTATCTCTGTCCATGACGGCGATACAATATGATGTCAATTTAGTAAATATTTTATAATAAGATAAATATATAGAACCATTGGCAAAAATCATATAATCATATTGACCATCGGAAGGCACAGAGTGATTCTTTTCCAGGCACGAATCGTAGACGGACAACTGAAATAATTCGTCTACTGTTATATTTACGCTATGAATTAAATCGTTCGTGTATTCGTACACGTTCGGGAAAAGATATTTAGATTTCTTGGAAATGCATTTGTCGTCAATAAGACGATCACCAAGAGGACAGCAGAGTAGAATGCAAATATTATTGTGACACATTTCATATGGGACGATGTTACTTTCAGTATTATCATTGCTGAAATTTTCAAAGACTTCATGTGACATGGAATTATTCTTTTCAATCAAGTTTTTATAAGTTTCTTGTAACGTAAAGTTTATTTTAGGATTTATTGAATTCGCGTGAGATTTTATTGCTATTTCCTCATCATTCTCATGATTATGTATAAAACGCGTGTCTAGTTTATATTGCCTTGAATCAACATTCTTGCAATCGTTATTCCTGGATGTAGTACGAAGTTTGTTCTGTGTTTCATATTGCGTATTGTTGGTAAATTTTTCGTATAAATCATATCGTCTTGCTTTTATTTCGTCGGTATAAATTGTTCTAGATTCTGTGTTAACCTCGAATTGTACCCTCAAATTATCATCTCTCACTTTGTTGATGTTTGGCTGTGATTTTGATGACGAAGTGACGAGAAGAATAAGTCCACAACACAAAAACGCGAAATTTTTTCCACACATTATTTCACATTTTTAAGGATATACACTTTACAGTAATTAGATAATCAAACTAATAGTTTTCAGTATTCATCATTTTTCACATAAGTTTTAAACTTTGAGTAATTAAAAATTCCACATTAAAATACATTTGCTTGTGTATTATTTGAACGAAAATGCGTTTTAAGTGTAAAATATACAAATATAATAAAATTAAATTCTTTTTTTTTGTCTTTCTCAACAAAATTTTGAAGAATTGATTTAATTTTATTTTGGCACTGTTAACATTGATGATTGTGCAAAGATTTTGATCTCACTAGATTCAATAAAACTAATGCTATATTACTGTATCCGCTTTGATTTCTTTTTCCAGTAGAATGCGCAAGAAACATATGTGCCTGCGTGGGAGAGGAGATGAGATTATCAAGGACAACAAGTCGTAGATTGTTTTAATGAGGAAAAACTGTCTACTATTATATAAAATTATACACATATATCTTTATATACAAGGAAGAAATATTTATTGAAATTTCTATAGATTGTAGCATGAGATCAAGCTAGCAGCGAAATAAAATAAACTCATAATTGTTATTTTCAGAAATGATGTTTGAACGAAGAGCCATTATATTTTTAAGAATTCCGCTAAAATAAAAAAATAGATTAAATCTCAATAATAGTCAAATAATATAAATTTTTTAGTTATATTATTTGTCAAATTTATACTATATTAAATTTTAATTATTTTAGTTATTTAAATATTTGTTATATTTAAACAATCTGTTAAATATCAATTAATCGATAACATGCGTAAGAAAAATTCATACATATTCTTCAAATTAATCAATTATTATCAATCACATTCATCTCTAGACTACAAAAGATTATTAAAAGTTGGATATATTAGTTTAATTTATATTATCTAATATATCGCGTTATTAATGTATGATTTTTGCTGTATCATTAATCTGAAACATAAAACGATGCATTGTTTAGAAAAATTAAATAAATATATTTATAATTGACTTATACGATATTTATATAGTTAAAAAAATAGCAATTTAATTATGAAAGTACTTATTTTATGATATAATGTATCTGTGAAAAATTAAGTTAGAAATGCAAAAATTAAAAGTTTATACAAATAAAAAAATGTTTTTAGTTAAAAAACTTGGCACTGCTAACTTTCAAAAATTAGCATATTGTTTAATTTAGCTGCGCCAAGTTTTTTTATTGATTTTTCTTTAACATAACTTTAATTTTTAATTTTTATATTAAGTTTTAAATTATATAATGCAAATTAAATTTGGCTCGTATGCAATTAAAATATGTGATAAATTAGAAGGCCAACTTGACGAGCTATAAGGTATTAATTACAATTTTTTATTATTATACGTCATATTATGATGTTACAATTGATAAACGTTTCGACTGTATGACAGTCTTTTTCAATATCATTGTCGCTATGCTAATATGTCAAAGAATTAAATCATTTAGTAAAACCGAACTTATTATACATATAACATCTATCGGATTATATTATGAACAACGCAGTAAAAATTCATGCTTATTGGCTTGAGTTAAAGCGCCTAATCTCAAACATCAGATTTCTGTAGTTCATGCTGTTATAATTTGTAGAAACGATCTGTGTCGCAACTTTCTACAAATTACAACAGCATGAACTACAGAAATCTGATGTTTGAGATTAGGCGCTTTAACTCAAGCCAATAAGCATGAATTTTTACTGCGTTATTCATAATATAATCCGATAGATGATGTTATATGTATAATAAGTTCGGTTTTTCTAAATGATTTAATTCTTTGACATATTAGCATAGCGACAATGATATTGAAAAAGACTGTCATACAGTCGAAACGTTTATCAATTGTAACATCATAATATGACGTATAATAATAAAAAATTGTAATTAATACCTTATAGCTCGTCAAGTTGGCCTTCTAATTTATCACATATTTTAAGTTTTAATTGTTTTGTGTGTTTTATTTATCTTTTTTCTGATTATTACAATTCTATAAATATGGGTTTGCAATTTCCAGCGTGAAGAAAGTTATAATTATATGATTACACATGAGTTTGCAACTTTTAGAGCAAATCAAGTTCTGTAATTATGTGCATAGTTTCTTTCAGAATTTTTTATATCATTATTTTTATATTATAGAATATGTGTAGAAAATTAAAACAACTATTTTGGATAATATAATATACAAGTTTCTTACTACTTTCTCTAGTACTTTCTATAGTATTTTCACTTCGCGCAAATTTTTTAATATCATTATTTTTTTGAAATATCTATATCTAGAAAAATAAATGTTTTATACAATTTTTTGAAATAATCTTTTGTTAGTACGATTTTTAATGGGTTTGCAACTGCAAATTTTTACAGGCGCGCGTGGTTTGGCCTTTTTTAAATCTTTTTTTGAAATGGTAAGTTTTTAGGGATTATATCATTCAATTTTGTATCGTGATATACTATATCTTTTCATAGTAAAAACTAATTTCTTGCTACTATCTTACTATTTTTTTATAAGTATATAATTGTTGATATGAAATAAGAAAAAGAATAAAAACTAATAATATTAAATAACATAAAACAAAGCCATAAATATCTGCATTTTTGATAGCTTATAACACTAATCAGTGCGCTAAAGCTATGAATTGTTAAAAATGCATATTTTTTTAATAACTCGTCTCTTAACATTATTAGTTTTTATTTATTCCCTTATTTTATATCAACATATATTTATATGAAAGAAGTAATAGGATGATAGCGTAACAAGAAAGTAGTTATTACTCTCAAAGAAATAGTAAAATGGTAACGTAACAAGAAAGTTACAAATGTTATCAAAAGAGGCGGTAGTGTCTCGCTAAGTTATATCTTTCATTTGTCAAATTAAAATACAATCTACAAAAAACAAAAAAAAATTTCAAAAAGATAGCAAAAATATCGAAACAATAACGAAAATTATCCGTAGGACGCTACTGTGTATCCTTTACCGGACGTAACACGATTTTCGTAACCTTGAAAACAAAAGTATGAAATATTTCATAAACTGGAACATATTTTTTAAAAGATGACTACATCAATCGAAAGCGCGATTTTTTCCCAGTAAAATGAGACCTTAACGAACTTGATAGTTCTATTGGTTGCGGAGATATGAATTTTTTTAGTTATTTTTTGGTCGAAAATGTGCCACTTTTTTGTCCGACTACGGCGTCGTACTTGTCCGCAGTTACCCATCCCAAAAAAGTGATTTTGTCCGCAGCTGCTTTACCTTATCCACGGACACCCATCACAATATAGTGACATTGTCCTCTGCTGCTTAACCTTTTAAGCAACCAAACGAAAAATAAATTCTCGCTCTCTCTCGCTCTCTCTCTCTCGTTCTCTCGCACTATCTCTCGCCTCCCTCCCCCCTCCCTCTCTTCCTTTCTCTCTCGCTCTCCCTCGCCTTCTCTCGCTCTCTTTCGCTTTCTCTCGTCCTCTCTTGCTCTCACTCATTCTCTCTCGCTCTCTCTCGCTTTCTCCAGCTTTCTCTTGCTCTCTCCCGCCCTCTCTCACTCTCTCTCGCTCTCTCCCGCTCTCTCTTGCTCTCTTCCGCTCTTTCGCACTCTCTCGCGCTCTCTTCCGCTCTCTCCCACTCTCTCTTTTTTTCTCTCTCCCTCTCTCTCTCTCTCTCTCTCTCTCTCTCTCTTCCGCTCTTTCCCGTCTTTCCTCGTCCTCTCTCGCTTTTCTCGGTCTTTCTTTTTCTCGCTTTCTCTCGCCTTCTCTCGTTCTCTCACGCTCTCTTACGCTCTCTCTCGCCCTCTCTTCCTTTCTCTCTTTCTCTCTCGCCTTCTTCGTTTTCTCTTGCTGTCCCTTGTTCTCTCTCGGTTTCTGTCGTTCTCTCTCGACTTCTCTTGCTCTCTCTCGTCTTCTTTCGCTTTCTCTCGCTTTTCCTCGTTCTCTCTTGCTCTTTCTCTTGTCTTCACTTGCTCCCTCTCCCTCTCCCTCCTTCTCTCTCTCACTCTTCTCTCTCTCTCTCTCTCTCTCTCTCTCTTTCTCTCCCGTCTCTGTCTTTCTCCCTTTTTCTATATTTAATAATATTACAGTCACTTTAGGGTTTGACCTCGGACAAAATGTTAAAAAGCTGAATTTTGGTGCAAACCTTCGTTTTTGCATAAGATTGGAGAGGAAAAAATTACCATTATTATATAGTGACCGTTAAAAAAAAAATAAACAATTAGAACTCAAATTTTGTTTTTTGCAAATATCTAGTTGAATATCGATTTTACAGAAAAAACAAAGAAATACAAAAGTACAAAATTAAAGAATGGATAATTTTGCATAAAAATGTTATCTATAAGTCTTTCATACAAGTAATATTTTTTATGTAAATAATTTTGCAAGACGTATTTTGCGCGGTGTCTTCACGGACCGTGCTGAAAGACGTTATGTGGATTGAAGCGTTACACGCGCGCACAAATATGTCATAATTTTTGAACAAATTATTGTAAGGAAATGAGGGAAGAATCATTGAGAAGCCAAAGATTTCAACTTTTTAATGCAACTTTTTGTTATTCTACGTTAATACTTTAAAATTTTACGATAGTTTAAACAAAATGTTAAATGTAATGTTTGTCTTCTCTCATTAAATTAATAACAGTCTTAAAATTTTTTGAAAATTTATTATAAAATAACAAAACAAATTACATTAAAAAGCTAAAATCCCTAAATTTTTAACGGTTTTTTTTTCATTTTTATTCGATAATTTGTTTAAAAGTTATGACATTTTTGTGCGCGCATGCAATACTTTAATCCACATAACGTCTGTTGACACGCTCCATCACGCTCTGTCAATTCACCGCACAACAAACAACTTGTAAATTTAAGTAAAAAGTATAGCTTATACGAAAAAAGTTATAGAATACTTCATGCAAAATTGTCCATTCTTTAATTTCCTACTTTTGTATCTTTATTTAAAATAAATATATAATGAGATATTTGCAAAATAACAGACTTTGGGTAGTAATTGTCTAATTTTATTTTTTAGCGGCCACTGTACAATGATAAACTTTTTTCTTTAATCTCATGCAAGAACGAAAGTTTGTACCAAACTTCAGTTTTCTAACATTTTTTCTGAGGTATCGCTCAATTTTTATCTAAAGTAACTGTAGTATAAAATATATTGAGAATCACTATAAAAGCTACACGCATGCACATACATATGTATGTAAGTACACAAGCATGTGCGCACGTAAGCATAGATTTATGTTTACATATACATATTTTTTAATATATCTTTTAATGAACTTTGCAAAAATATGTGAAATCCCACTAAAAAAAAACATCACAGATGTAAAAAAGTGCTAAGTTATATCTTTCGCAAGCAACAATAATTTTTTACAAAAAGTCGTAATCAAATATATTATCTTCTTAAAAATTATGTTTATAGCCAAAATAATTCTTTGCAAAAATTAATTAATGTATATATTAATTAATATATTATATAATTAATAATAAGCATATATTAATTAATGTATAGTAAATTTATTTTTATAATTTTCAATTAATAAAACATGAAAAGTAGGCCAAATATACGAGCCGAAATGATTTAGATATAAGAATAATTAAAAATTTTTATTCATAATATAAATGTAGACGTTTTGACCTTACTAGGTCTTTATCAATACAATCACACACAACCGCAAGTATAAAATTATAAAATATAATAAAGAAATTTAAACATAATCTCGCAAGTTATGCAGACGAAACTTCGTTTATCATTCGATTTAATTACAATGGTTGAAACAATTATTCTTAGATGTCTTATGTTTAAGACCATCTCTCAATTAAATGCACGGAGTCCAAATTGGTCGTTGGACAGCGCGAACGGTCTGTTCCGGCATCTTCACGAGATGAGTCCCATTTATTCAAGCCCTTTTTTTCCCACAAAATAGATATATTAAAAAGATTCCAATAAAGAACACTCCGAAAAATATAAATTAGCAATAACTTACATATTGATGTTATGTGTTGGTTGTTGCGACTCAGCAATATCAAGGAATAATATGTGTCATTATTATGTCGTAGCCTGTTTATATAGTCAATAGTGTTGTCAATAGTTAAAGGTTAATTTGTTTATTTTTTATTATTAAAAAGTGTGTCAGATAATTCTTCTAAAATGTCAAAATAACAGCTTTCAAGAGATTCGATGTCTTTCTTTAAAATTATACTGTTTTATGTTCTTTTATGTATAACATTTCAGAAATAAGTCTTTTATTATAGTTGATTTCATGATCTAATATTTCAGTCCCTTCCCAGTCAAAAGTGTGCTTATTATTTAAAATGTGTTCAGAAATCACCGAATGTCTTGCAGAGTCTAATTTAAAATTGTTTTTATGTTCGTTAAGTCTGGTACGTAATTGTCTTTTTGTTTGTCCAATATAAGTTGCGTCACAGTCTCTGCAATTGATTTTATATACAACATTTGAATTGCTGGAATCATCATTCTTGTCTTTATGTGTTTTAATCCAAATGTTTAGATTTTTCAAGACACGATATCCTACATTTACATCCGATTTTTTGATATTAGCTGATATTTCTTCGGAGATGGATTCCACATATGGAATTGCAACAAATTTGTTATTTTTATCTTTGCTATCATGAGGACCCTTTTTATTTTCTTTATTAGTTGTATTTAATTTGCTGCCGATAAAATTCTTAATCCTGCGATTTATTTCATTAAAAATAAGAGCCAGAGGGTAGCCATTTGATAACAAAACATTTATAACTGTATGCAAATTTTTATCATGGAATCGAGGATGCGACAATAGCAGTGTTCTGTCCACTAAATTATAAATAGTGCCTAATGTGTGGCACCTCGGATGGTTGGAATAAAAATATAAAAATCTACCTGAGAAAGTTTTTTTATGGAACCAATCTACATATATCGCATTCTCAATCACATTAATAGAAATGTCAAGGAAACCAATGCTACGATTCTCTTCTCTTTCAACTGTGAATTTCAGTCTTTCGTGGTATTTGTTGAATTTGTCTATGATATGTGGTGTATTTTCCGCATTTGTTGCCAATAAGATATCATCTACATAACGATAGTAAAAAGTCAAATTCCAATTAGATGTGTCAATAATAGATGTTTCAAGATCTTGCAAAACTAAATCAGCAATTATTGGAGATAGAGGAGATCCCATAGGGACTCCGTATATTTGTTTATATGTAGTGTTGTTAAATTTGAAAAAGGTGGATGTTAATATAAATTTAATCACGTTCAAAAATTCGTTTTTTGGAATTTTTGACTGTGGTTCGATGTAATGCCATCTATTATTAATGCATTCCATTGCAAGATCCAGAGGGACATTAGTGAATAAAGAGACAACGTCTAATGAAACTATTATATCTTCACTGTCTAAAGCTTTTTCAGACAGAGCATTGCACAAATCGAAACTGTTATTAATAAAACTATTCGCTTTAGGAATGCTTTTGATCAAAATTTTATGGATAAATAAAGCTATGTGGTGTAAAGCTGTGTTCACCGACGAAACTATAATTCTAAAAAGAGTGTCTTTTTTATGGATTTTAGGCAAACCGTATGCTTTGGGCAAGAGGCTATCACTCGAATGCAAATAATAGTATTCCGTTTTGGTAATAAAATCCTTTTTTAGCCATTTTTTATAATGATATTTAAATCTCTTTCTATTTTTAATGCTGAGTTATTATTAATTTTTATGTAAGTATTAGTATCATTTAGCAAATTTTCAACCTTATTTATGTAATATTTTTCCTCCATTGCTACCGTAACGTTCCTTTTATCGGCTCTTGTAAATAAAATGTCTGGATTATGCCTCTTAAAATTGGATGTTGCCTTAACCATAGAAGCTATTTTAATATGTGTCGGTGTGTGTGATTGGGTCGGTTGTGTAAAAATCGTGTGAAATGGGGAATTGCTATATTGCGTATCCTGGGGAGATTCATGATCTTATTTCTCTTAGTGTTGCACTTTAAATCCTTGATAAACTCATGTATGGCTATTTTTTATTGTTCGTATTTATTGGTAAACTAAAATTATTACCCATTTGCAACAAATTGACCACTTTCGATGGAATTTGCGTGTTAGTTAAATTGATGAACCATTTACTGTTTGTGTGATCTAGCGGGTTAATTTCTTTTTCTGTAAATTTGTTAGGAGTGATAGAAATGTTAATGATATTGTTATTTTGGTTATATAATGTTGCCGATTGTGTGTATTTCTTAGTTTGTGAAGTTTCATTTTATCTAGAATGCAACTAAATTTAATTGGTCTGATACTATTAATATATTCTGATTTTTTGACTTGATTAACCATAAGAATTTTTTCTTTGACTGTAATATAACTTGGTACGATAATTGTTAAAAGAAATAGTATGATGGTTAATAATCTCATCCCAAATGTAAGAAGGAAGTGTGTTATTAAGATGTAACGGTTCACCTTTCCCGACGCCGCGGATCGGCTCGCCGGTTCCAGGATTCGGGAGGAAGGGGGAGATTCAGACTCGCTTATTCCTTATTAACAATGCTTTGGTTTATTCAAAAGAAACAAGTAAACAAAATGTTTGTTGGCATAAAGCCTTAAATAGAGAAACTTATTGACTACCCGGTATAAACAAAATACGGAGGCATATAGCCTGTAGCGGTGTCCGGAAACAGACTTACAAATTACCCGGTATAACTTAGAGCTGTACGGAGGGTATAGCCTGTGTAAGGAAAGGCGTAATAGCCGTCGAGCGGAAACCGGAAACCGGGAA